TTATATTTGAACACTTATTATGTATGATTTTTTGTGTAAGTGTCTAAGATGTTATGATGTAACTATGTGTTCATATCTATGAAAGAAGGTTGAAGTTTTAACTACTTGTAAAAATTACATGTATGCATTGCTCGATAAACAGAGTTATGTTTTAATATTGCTTCCACAATGCCTCGCTATTATATTATGGTTATTTTGTCTTTGAGGGCAAAAGTAATCTGAGATTACTGGCCGGTCACAGCTTAAATCTCTAGGGGCGGATTCGCGTCGTAACAAAAGATATAGCCATTAGGGCATATAATTACTTGATTGTATTTTTATTTTAATTCATGTATCCATGTCATATTCTATAGATTTAGAACATAGGATTTATGAATGTATACCCGCATATGTCATCTTTTGTATGATTAAGATTATAAAAGGATTATAAAATACGAGGTTATTGATTAATTGTAAGGAATGTTATGAGACAGGCAATTGTTACTTATTTCGGGGCATTACAAAAAAGCCAACCTAACCCAATTGCCAAACGACACCCATAATTCACCTACAATGACAAATAAGGGAGTTTAATCTCACATGGTTGAGTTTGTGACAAATTAAATTTTTTTTAAAATTTTATTTTATGAAAAAATTAATCAGTTGTTAGATTATCTTGGGAGAGAAACCCCCAATCTCTTCTTTGATATGTAATCTGTCATATCATTGTAAATAAATTAAGAAAGACGCTTTACGAATCTCAATCTTTTTCCAATATTGACATAGACCATTTTCAATGGTGATTGTCATCGTTTGGTTAAGACATTTTTAGTTGGCTTTTTGGATCTTTTTGATTTTTGTGATAGAAAAAATAAAATAATTATGATTTGGATGTGACGTAGCCTATGTCTTTTATGCTTTTTTAGTTCAAAAATCCAATGCCAAATGAAAGTATCAAATGCCCTCTATATGGGTTGGTCATTTTGCATTTTACCACTTATTGTTAAAAATTCTATCAAACTTGACAAATTTTGAGTTGGCATAGAAAAAAGTTATACTTAAAATTCGACATAAAAGTACAAATATATTCTATTTGCTTAGTTAGATTTTTCCAAAAATAGAAAATTCTACTTTCTTATTTTTTGTGTTTTTTTTTTTATTTTTACTAAAATTTTTAATATTTTAAACAATTTTTTTTTATATTTTTAGACATACCTAAAATAAATATACCTAAAAAGTAAAAAAATTGTGAAAAAGCCTTTTAAAAATTCACTAAATATCAAAAATATAAAAAAAAATACGAGAATTCAGTACATTTTTTATATTTTTATGTATTTATTAATTTTTTTAAATATTTTTTCACAAATTTTTTACTTTTTAGATGTATCTAAGTAAGGTGCATCTAAAAACATAAAAAAAAAATGTTTAATAAAAATATTCACTAAAAACAAAAAAATACGAAAATCAAAAAACTTAGTTAATAAACAACTTAATCTAGAAAACTCAAACAAAACACATTGAATTATTTTTGTCTCAAAAATGTAACCTTGGTCATATTCTTAAAAAAAAAATTAATATATATGTAACCCTAACCCTAATAAATCTTAAAGAGACCCAACTAAGTTCCCACGACTGCTTGGCGCCACCAGCCACCTCTTCCGACACCCCTTCTCATTTTCCTTCTACTCATCCATCTCACCACCCACTCCACTCCTACCACTCCAACTTCTCTCACCCGGCCCAGCCTTGCGATCTCCTCTCATATCAACTAGCATAACCTCACCCCACTCTGTCACCTTGTTTCTTAGTTTTATGTCATAGTTTGTGAATTGAAGTCATACTAAATACTAGACATATTTTTAAAATAAAAACATCAAACAATTTGTGACAAATTTCTAAATTAACCAAGTTTTACACAGTACCATATGCATTTACCACCATAGTCAGGTCACGATGCCTTCTATGGCTAAGCTTGTGTCATGTTGCATTCATGAATTTTCCCAGTCAAGCAAGATTTGTCTGTCCACTTAACGCTGGTTTGACAGTAATGTTTTGCTTTTAGAATAAAATTGTTGTCATAAAAGTTAATATGTTTGGTAACGTTAAAAATATTAATTTGTAAGTTTGGGTAGTTTAAAAAAAAGTTAAAAAGTCAAAAAGTTACTCAAAAAGTTAAAAAGTCATCACTATTGACCAAAAGTCAACAATTACGGCTACACAATTCCCAATTCTAATTTTCTCCTACAAACTAATTTTTACAATTTTTTATTACACATTTTTCCATAAAAAGTCAAAAAGTTAACCCAAACATTCATATTTTCAACCTCAACTTTTTAGTCTAAAAAGACAAAAAGTGCACTTATTTAGTCTTCCCAAACTTGGCCCGAGAAAATTGAGCAGATCTTTGATTGTTTTTTTCATTGTTATGCTTCGTTGGTTTGGGTGAAAATATTTTCTGTATTTTTTAGTATTTGATACAATAAAAAATAAAAGTTAATAGAAAATATTTTTTATGATCAATAAAAAATAAGTTTATTTAGGTAAAAAAATATTTTCCACTTTTGAAAGGTAGAAAATATTTTTCAAACTAAAATTTTACCAATATCACCACACGACCACTCTCACCTCCACTACCAAACCACCATCACCATGGCCATCCCCACTATCACCGTTGCCATCTGGGCCACCGTCGCCACCACCTCCATCTCTACCTTCATTCTATTATCACTATTACCAAACATAGAAAAATATTTTTCTTAGAAAATATTTTTTAAAAAAAGTTTTTCATAACAAATATTTTCCATCAGAAAATATAACGGAGCGTTAATATTTTTATGTAAAAATAAAAAAAATATTTTTTTATAAAATTTAATTAGTCAATAAGGATAAAAAAATCTAAACAAAATAGGACTTTTGTTTGAAAGATGAAGTAATTTAGGCAAAAGCTACACCTCCTAAAAGGATCAAATTACTCGTAGGCCATATTTGTTACGATGGACTGGAGAATTAAAATGTAACGGATTGTTAGTTTTAGGATAAATAATCTTGAATTATTTGACTAAAAATACTTATATTTTATATTTATTTTGTTATGAGATAAATGTCTAGAAATGACTATTCTAATGGATATAATGTTTGATTACGAAATTATGAAAAATGATAAATTTAATTAGGAAATTATGTCCGTTCCGTTATCTAATTTTTAAAATCAGATTTTGAGGTTTTAATTTGTATTTTTTTTAGTGAATGTTTTGAATATTTTGGTTATTTTTAATTTTTTTTTAAATGCATATAATCTAGATGTACTGAAACAAGGAAAATTTTAAAAAAATATACTATGAAATAGAATATTTTAAAAAAACATACCTATAATATGAAATAGAATACTATGAAATAGAATATTTTAGAAAAACATACCTATAATATTTGTGAAGAAATTTTTTAAAAAATTCAGTAAATACTATGAAATACAAAAAAATATAAGAAAATAGTATATATATATTTTTTTGTAAATCATCAACTCAATTAATATTTTTTTTATAATGTTAGAAATATATTCTAATTAAAAATTTAAGTAATTTTATAACTTTATAGGAGAGTAGTTAAGAATTATATTTTTTTTTATTAATTCTGTTAAATAAAAAATTTTGACAAAAAATATTTATAAATTTTAAACTTATAAGAGATAATCTATATTTTAAATAAATATCAAGAAATATATTTTTATTAAATACAAGAACAATATCATCATATGCATTAAGGGGACACAATGCTATATTAAAGGAAGACTTACGTATAGGTCTTAATACGTGGATTTATTATCAAATAGGTTCTGTGATAATTAATGATATCTTTCAGCAAATACTATTTAAAAATGTCACTAATTGTTAATTTTCAGCAACAATTTAAAAATTTTGTCACACAAAATGTCACTAATTATAAGTTTTAGCGACAGTTTAAAAAAATTGTTATTAATTTTCAAGTTTCAACAACAGTTTAAAAAATTTATCATAGAAAAACATTACTAATTGTAGCTTTTAGCGACAATTTATAAAAATTATGAAAAAAAAATCACTAATTGTCAATTTTTAGTGATATATGCAAAAATGTCACAAAAATTTATTTTTAGCAACGATTTTACTAAGACTTATTTTCAATAGGTTTTGATAGAAATTAAATTCAACTATTAAAATTTATTGATAATTTACCCAATATTTTATTTTAAACTAAACTAAAGTGGAATAAATATTTAGGTATAACAATTAGATTAAATATATTAGTTGTATTAAATAGGTATTCACGGGCTCCACTTGTTCTAAATATATATATATATATATATATACTAGCGGGCGACACACACAATGCGTGTGTAATTTAAATAACTAATAATAAAAATAAATAATAAATGATTTAATATCATAAGATGTATATTGCTTAAGAGTTGTTTTGGAAAAATGGTTAAAAATTGGCTTTGTGAATTTTTTTTTTAAAAACGTATAAAAAATGTGAAAGATGATGTGATTTAAAATGAGTAAAAAGTTAAGAGGTAATTTTTAACCCACTTTCTAAAAGAGGCCTAAGTGATAAGTATGTTAATGAAACTCAAAATCTTAAATTTAAAACTTACTTATATTGTATATAATAACTCTTTTATTTTAATATAAAAAAAAAGTTTCATTAAACTAATTTAACCCTCTACTATAGATATTTTAAATTTGAGAGGCGATTAGTATAATTTAACCGAGTAAATTTCACCAAAGAAACCTAAATTAACGAAAAAGGCCATCGCCCGATATCCGGCGGTACGCTCCATCAAAGGCTCCAATTGGCGGACACCACTAGAACATCCCAATCCAGTTTAATTCATCCACGGGTCCACCGATTCATCCGGTCACCAAACCCCTCCCCAACTCACCTACTCTCACTATACCACTCTCCCCTCTCCACCGTTTCAGCCGGTTCCCAAAACTCCCTTTCAAAACCTTTTCAAAGTTTTAAACCCCCTCTTCTTTCTTTCATGTCGAGTGAATTTCCATATCATTTCATTCTAATTTCAATTTCAATTTCAATTTCAAACAACTCTCTCTCTCTCTCTAGATTTGTCTACACAAGTGTGGTTTTACAGCGATGGAGCGTTCGTTGTCCAGGTCGCGATGGTCTTGTCTTTCCCGCCTTTTTGAGGAGGTGGCAGCTCTCTGGTTGTGCGTCTTTGTTGGGTGATAATGGATTCATATTCGTATTAACACAGATTATTAGAATTTTAATGATCTCCATGCTCTGGAAATAAGTAAGTTCAGATTCATATATATCTACTTATTTTTCTGCTTTGGTTTTAAGTATTTTGATACATGTTTATTAAAGTACTGCTCATGTCTATTTTTGGTTATATAATCGATGTGAGTTTGAAATTTTATTTTTATTTCTCTCTGATAATTCAAAAATTACATGTGAATATGTCTACATGATGATTTTGAAGCACTTTGTCAGTAAAAAACTTGGACCAACGGTGGCTATCTCGAGTTTCTGACAAAAGTTTCTTCTTTCTTGTTCTGTTTCGATATAAAAAGACAAACAACATCCAATAATAACGGTTTACTTTCTTTTTCATTTTAATTTTTTTCCTTCTAAGCAGCCCCAATATGGAAAAATGGTGAATTTTTTAAGGATTTAGATGGTGATTTTTGTTACCGTTTTTGTGGTTTTGTACTTTGAGTTTTTATTATTTATTTATTTATTTTCCCCTATATAAATTGCGTTGGTATTGCAGCCTCTTGGTCTTCCTTGTCCTCTGATTCCTATCTCAATGCCTTCTGAAAAGTTTTTCTGCAATTTATTGGTGAGTTTCTTCTAGAGTCCCTTCTACTACGATCTTCTTCTTTTTATTTATTTTGCAATTTATTGGTGAGTTTCTTCTAGAGTCCCTTTTACTACGATCTTCTTTTTATTTACCTATTTTTTAAATAGGTACTGAGTATAGATGGGTATTATGGGCTTTCAAATTTGGATTTGTGACCATCAGTTAATTACATGTCATGATGATGATGACTCGAGATGGGTATTAATTCATGTTATTTATCTATCTCTGTTAATTGCATGTTAATCTCATGTTATTTGATATATATGTATGTATGTGTTTGTAAGGATGGATTTTTTAACCCTTGTTATTTATCGATCTCTAAATCATGTGGTTTTGTTCTAAATCATGTGGTTTTGTTCTAAATCATGTTTTGAGATAGTTGTTTTTCTTCTTTTAAATCTTTGAATGTAAAGAAAAATTTGTTAGAGTTCACGATTAGTGCTGAATATTCTCCTTTATTTTATTATTGGGTGGAGGATTGATGCAGGGGAATCGTTACCTATGTTTATTCGTTGAAGAAAGAATGATTCTGTTTTATCAGAGTTTTTGGGTGTTAGATTAGATGGGATAGAGTCGTTAATATGTATTGTATTGACATCTTGTTTGTTAGATAGAGGTTTCTTAGTCCAACTGGCTTGTATGCTTTCAGATTGATCTGCAGTTAACTGAAGCATGTGTAGTGGTCCGGAACAATTAAATCCTGATACTCCGGCTCCTTCTTCTTCCCCAAAAAGTGCAACTATGACTAAAGATACGAGTAATTTGCCTGGAACAGTGAAGACTGAAATTTCTTTCTCAAGTCTGCTTGAACTTGCTGCAGACAATGATGTTGAGGGGTTCAAGCAATCAATTTTGCGTATTGCTTCTGCAATTAATGAAATGGGACTCTGGTATGGTCGTCAGAGAGCATCAAAACAGATGGCACTCGAGAATCGAACCCCGTTAATGGTTGCTGCCATGTATGGCAGTGTTGATGTTGTAAAACTAATACTCTCTTTATCCGAGGCAGATGTAAATCTTTCCTGTGGCCCAGATAAGAGCACTGCCCTTCACTGTGCTGCATCTAGTGGATCTGTCAATGCTGTTGATGTTGTAAAGATGTTATTACTTGCTGGTGCAGATCGCAATTTGACTGATGGCAATGGCCATAGACCTATTGATGTTATTGTCGCTCCTTCAAAGTTTCCTGACTTGAAAGATACCCTTGAAAGGCTCCTCAGGAATGATGATTCTGTTCATCTACCGGACATTAAGGTATCCTTTGGTGGTGAGAAATCGAATTCGTCATCACACTTATCGTCTCCAGAAAATGGTCCCTTGTCTTCTGCTGTGGATTCAGCATCATCACTAAATAATTTTAGGCTGAGTGATACCCGAGCATCCTCTCCACCGGAGAGGAAAGAATACCCGGTTGATCCTTCTCTTCCAGACATCAAGAACAGTGCATATTCCACTGATGAATTTCGAATGTTCTCATTTAAGATCTGGCCTTGTTCTCGAGCGTATTCTCATGATTGGACTGAGTGCCCTTTTGTTCATCCAGGTGAGAATGCCCGAAGAAGAGATCCAAGGAAGTTTCATTACAGTTGTGTGCCTTGTCCAGATTTTCGTAAGGGGCAATGCAGACGTGGGGACTTGTGTGAGTATGCTCATGGGGTTTTTGAGTGCTGGCTACACCCAGCACAATACAGGACCAGACTCTGCAAAGATGGCACAGGTTGCTCCCGCAGGGTTTGCTTCTTTGCTCACACATCTGAGGAACTTCGGCCACTATACATGTCTACAGGATCTGCTGTTCCATCCCCCCGATCATCCACTTCTGCTGCTACTTTCATGGATATGGCTGCAACATTGAGTCTTTTGCCTGGTTCTCCGTCAGCAGTTGGTGGCATGGCACCTCCTCCTTTCAATCCACCCATGTCCCCTTCTGGAAATACTATTACGCACCCATCTATGGCTTGGCCACAGCCAAATATCCCCACTTTACATCTGCCAGGAATCAATTTACAGACAAGCCGTCTGAGATCTTCTCTTAACGCCAGGGACATCCCGGCTGAGGAGCTTGAAATGCTCCTAGAATTTGAAGTTCAGCAACAGCAGCTTTTGAATGATATGTCATGCTTCTCGCAGACACATCTTAACACATCCTCCACAAAGCTTCCTGTTCATTCGAAAACCCTAACCCCTTCGAACCTTGATGAGTTTTTCTCCACAGAGGTTTCATCTCCTCGATTTTCTGATTCAGCAGTTTTCTCTCCATCACACAAGTCCATGGTTCTAAATCAATTCCCGCAACAACAGAACCTGCAACAACAGAACCTTTTATCTCCAATCAACACGAATGTATACTCTGCGAAGAATGTTGATCACCCATTCTTGCAGGCATCGTATCATGCTTCATCTCCTGGGAGGATGTCACCTCGAGGCATTGAGCCGCAATCCCCATTTAGCCCTAGGCTATCTAATCATGCTCAGCGCGAGAAGCAGCAGACACAGCTACGCAGCCTTAGCTCACGTGATCTTGGAACCAATCTTCCATGGGATCTTGGATCCAATGGTGCAGGAATTGTTGGTTCTCCTGTGAGTTCTTTGTCAAATTGGGATTCCCCCAATGGGAAAGTGGATTGGTCTGTTAATGGAGATGAACTAGCTCGAGTTCGTAGATCATTTTCAATTGATCATAACAGGGAGGAGCCTGACCTGTCATGGGTTCAGTCGCTGGTGAAAGAATCACCAACTGAGACTAAAGAAACTTCCATTATACCAGTCTCGAGTGCCACATCGTCGGGTGAGGTTTCCGACTTGAACTCAATTGAAAAACTTGATCATGCAGTTTTGGGAGCATGTCTAGAGCAGATGCAGCTTGATCAAATTGTTGCTTAGTATATGTGAAACCATATTTACTAAGCATGGGCGGGAATCAGTATAGTAAGACCAAAAAATAATATTTGTTTTCATTGGTTGGTGATGTTGGGAGGTAAGATGACTACAGTAGAGTGGGGAAGGAGGATGCTCAGGAAAAAAGGGTAATTCATTTATCTATTTATTATTGTTATCATTTCAGCAGTCAAAAGGGATAAGAAAGCCTATCTGGGTCATTTGCAAACATCTCAGCTTAGGTAGTTTCTCTTCCCAGATTTTGAAATTTAGATCTTTATTTTTTCCCAAAATTTCTTCTGGTTGAGCTCTAGGTTTGCTGTCTATTTTAGTTTAATTGTAACTTATTATTATTATTACAATAATGATCATCGTTATCTCAGATGAAGTTCTTGCTGTTGTTGAATATAGTGTGGAAGGGGGAATATTATGATCTTGGAATTTTGTTTTTACTGCTAGTTATTTGACTAGGTCTCTGATTATTAATTTAAAGAAAGGAGGGGGGAAGAAATGGGGTTGCTGATGTGGTCCATTAAAGAATGAATTATTGTTGGGGCAGAAAGTGACAGCCTGTGGGGGCATTTGGTTCTTTGATGATGTAACATTGAATTAGAAGTTTTATTATTATGAGAATATAACAAATTTTAATATGCCTAGTTCTTTTGTCATCTTTGGATTTCTTTGCAGTTACTTTTATTCTCTTTTTTTTTAATTTTTTTTTTAATTGTGTTTATTTCTCTATCCTGATTTGTTAAAGCATGTGAATCTGTAATAGGTGGATCCCAATAATAGGGATGGTGGGTGAAAGAATTTTGGAATTTTTTTTTTTTTTTTTGGGGGGGTTTTGTGGGTGTTGAAAGATTTTATTTGGATTTTTTTCAAGCTTTATTGGAGGGATCAGATGTGGGGATAAGGGGATCAGATGAGCAACTTGCTTTTCAGTGATGAGACTTTAAGGTATCATGTACCAGCATTTGATGCCATCCCACTAACCTCTCATGTTGTTGGGTCTTTTTATAGGAGTGGGTGATTCTTTTAATTTCAATGTGATTTGTGGGCCACTCTACTTTTTATTTTTTTATTTTTTATAGGCTGATCTTGATTGGTTGGCTGAGGCTACCTACTAATGTGTATGTATACCAGTAATATTAGTTAACTAGTAAAGTTGGTGACCAAGAATTTGGAAGCACAAAAGTATGGGCCTTACTTTTTTGTTTTTGGTTTTTATCATGACATATTTAGGTTTAAATTTGGGCAAATTACCTATACCTCTCTCGAGATTTAGCTAAATTACAGATACCCTTTGAGGTTTCGAAAATTACAGATACCCCTTTGAGGGTTATATTTTCATAACAAATTGCCCTTTGAGGTTTATATTTTCATAACAATGTCTCCTAATTTGTTATTCAAATAGTACCTTCAGGGGTATCTGTAATTTCTTAAATCTCAGGGGAATATTTGTAATTTTGCTAAACTTCGAGGGAGTATATATAATTTGCCCAAAAATTAAATTTACCTTTTAAATTTAATGATCTGTTAAAAGAGTAATTAGTTGATATAAAAAGTAAATTTGTATATCATTTTGGTTTTAACTGCATAAGATACTGTAATGTACGGCAGTGACATTTAAAAGGAATTTGTCTTATATGGTGATGTTGGGATGGTTTTATTGTGTCAAGTTTGTTGTTGATGCATAAAATCAACTTGGTTGGATTTGTACAAATTATAAATTCCATATTAATTAATTCCTGATCAATTAAACTCTTCAACATGCAAAGCAAGCCTGATATCTAAGCACTGACTTTATAAAAGTGAATTTTACAAGATGGCTGATTTGATTTGAGTACATTTATTCTCATTCTATACTGTACGTTTTTGTTTGATTTATATATGATATTGGGAAATAATATTCTAAGAGTTGGGGTGCTTGATGTGCGTGAAGTACTGCGGGTATTGTTGTGCGCTTGTTGAGGCATATTCTGAAATTATTTTGATAATTTAAACAGTTCAAGTTTTACAATACATCATGTAAGTTATACCTGTAAAAATTCAAATTCATTGGATATCGATAACTTTTTTTTTTTATCAAAAATACATTTGTATTAAGTTTTATATTTAAAATAATACTTACTATTCGTTTTTTTTTCCGATACAAATGTGCTTTGATGAATAGGTTATCGATATCTGATTAACTTAATTTGTTATAACTATGTTTTACAGAATGTACTTTAAAAATTAAATGGTTGAGATTATTGAAATAAGACCTGAAATGTGCCTTACCGAGCGCACAACAGTGCCCACTACGTATAGCAAGCACTCCAATTCCAATATTCTATACGCAAGTGAAAAGTTTTGAACCATTAACTTTCTAGCAAGGTGCAAAAGTTTTAGCCAAACGAGATAGCCGCATTGGTAATTTCATGTTGTACTTTAACATAGTGTTTTGCATATATAATATTAAAAAGGGTAAATTACACTAATCTCCCTTGAGTTGGAAAAAGTACAATTTCTTATAAAGTTTTGACATAATTACACTAATATCTCTTTTAGTAAAGCTAAAAAGACTTAAATAATAGAAACTATGTGATGACATAAGGATAAATAATAAAAAATATACGTTTCAGTAAGAAAGAAATGGCAATATTATTATTTTCTTTAACAAAAAGAGGATTAAGGGTTATGTGAGTTAAAATCTTGAAAAACTTAATATAATTATTCTATAACTATGAATTTATTGTATTTTTTTTTTACAAATTTTTAGAGAAGTTAGTGTAATTTATTTACACTGTTAGGTATTTTGTAATTGGCAATCCCGTTTGACAAAACTCTATTTAAATGTAATTGCATTCGCTCTTTTGTATCTGTGTGTTTATGAGAGTTCAGATTCAAATACAACTTAATTTGTACCTGAGTAGAGGAGTTTGTGTTGAAGGAAAAGTGTGCATGAGCAGAGGAGTTTTTTAGTCTGTCAAAGTTCTTGGACCACGTGAGCAGTCAAGTGTGTGCTCGAATGCTGAATTGGAGCATCTAATATTTCAATTCGAGTTCAAAGATACTAGGAGATAGGTTTTACCGCTCGAGTGATAAGTCTTGTGCTTGAGCGAAGGGATAGGTGGAAGATTGTTAGCACCGCCTTAATAATCTCACTGCTCGAGCGGTCATTCCTGAGCTTGAGTGGTCTTTGCGTCCTTTTATGTTATAAAATGCCTCAGTTGCTCGTTTTAGGGTTTAACCCTTCTAAGATTCTCAAAGATAAGAGAAGTTAAAGTGTTATATATTGGATGGTATTTATATTTTGGTTTCCTTGATTAATTGAGGTTGATCGATGGATTAACGAACTTCATATTGATAATCATCAATGTGTTTCTTTTGTTTTATCATTCACACAAAGACAGATGTTCATTGGTAGATTCCGAAAAATTTGAGCCTGAAATTTTGGTGGATTCCAGAGTGGCTCATTGTTGTGGATTCAACATCAGCGTTGTGGATTCAACATTGGACAAAGCAATTCCAAGGCGAAGATGATGGTGGAAGAGTGACATCGAGTTTGGTTCAATTTGGGCCTGGATTTGCTAGGTAATTAAGGGTTCTCGTGTGTAATTTCTCTGTCTTCTTAGTGGATTATTTTGTGGCTTTGGTTAGTGATTTTTTTTTTAATTTTTTTTTTATCACAATTAGTGTCCAATTGTGATTTTTCTACATTATATCGTTGCGTTGATTTGTTGATGTTTGTTTGGTAGATATAGTTTAATTCTTGTTTTGAATTCGATCTACTTGTATTTGATTGGGGATTGTTATTCATTGTTAAAAGTGAATTCTAATTACAAATCACTATCTCTGGATTTTTAAGATTTTCAATTGGTATCAGAGTGGGCCGTTCAATCTTTGTTTTTTCAAAGCTACAGAAGCGAGATCTTGTTTGATTTATGATCATGGATTTAATCCGTGAGGGTAATTCTATGTTTTGACTAATCCTACTTGACGGATTCAATTACTCTTTTTGAAAAGCTCGGATGAGAGCATTTTTTAAAACGATTGATGAAAAAAATTTGGCAATCCGTCATGTCCGGATGGTCTAAACCTACAATTAGTGTTGATAAAATAACCTTTCACAAACCGATCGACAAATGTAATACAATCGATTACCAAAATAGTAGCAGGAATAGTAAAGCTATCAATTCCTTGTTTTGCGTCGTCACACTCGATGAGTTTAGTTGTATTTGTAATTGTGAAGTTGCAAAAGAGGCATGAGATATCTTAGAAACTATTCATGAAGACACTTATTCAGTTAACGTTTAAAACTTCAAAGACTCACTGCTAGTTTTGAAAACCTTTCTATGAAAATTAGTGAGACCTTTGATGGATTTTATGCCAAGTTGAGTGACATTGTGAATTTCAACTTTAATTTAGGTGAAAAAAATACCGAAATCCAAGATTGTTGGAAAAATTTTGAGATCCTTACCCGATCAGTTCTAACAAAAAGTTACAGCTATTGAGGAGGCTCAAGATGTTGACAATCTCAAACTTGATTATTTGGTTGGAAATCTCAAAACTTATAGCACATTTGAAATTCAAAAAGAAAGAAAAAGATGTTGTTTCTTTTAGTAGTGTGCTCATGGAGATGGTAATGAGTCCAGTGAGATTGTGAGTTTGATTCCAAGGTTACGGATGCTTTTATAAAACGTTTTAAAATGTCTTTTCGAAAAAAGAATCCTAATCTTGTGGAATCAACTCACAAATCCAATAGCAAAGATAGACTCAAAATTGACTTTACAACTGAAATGAAGAAAGGAAAAATACAAGGGAATCCTTAAAGAGTCCAATTCTATGAATGCCAAGGTTTTGGTCACTTTGTGTCACGATCCAAACCCGCCCCTATAGGTTTTGCACCGTAACCGGCCAGTAATCCGTGGATTACCAAAGGCCTCTGAACAGATTATCAAGTAATAAGGGGCTGCGGAAGCAATAATACGAAATAAACAAGGTCCAATGAGCTGTGACAACGTACATGGGATAGAACATTTCAAAACTTACTATTAGATATATAAACATGCCAGTCCAGATACACAATATTTACAAAATATTTACAGAGGTGAACTTCCCAAGATCTGACTTTACAAACAGTTACAGAGACTAGCATGAAAACAAAAGAAAACAACCATGGCATTAGACTTCGATTGGAACCTCCTCGGGAGGCATAACAGTTGGCTGACAAAAACAGTACAAAAGGCTGTCAACTCTGGCCCTGGTCATGTGCCGGCTCACCTACATACATAATATAAACTGTGAGTGAAAGCCCAGTGAATAATAACAGAGTAAAGGGGTTATATGAATGATGTCCAGCACAAGTTAAAATTCAGCATTTAAATCAAAGCATAATCAGACTTCGAACAGAAACAGATTCATATACATTTTCATATTCAGATTTTGCATAAGATCATACGTGGTACACCCGTTAGCTATCAGATCAGATTGGTCCAAAGACCCACATACATAGTTGGTACCAACGACCATAAAGGTCCATATCTTACGCGCAAGCAGCCATGGTATTGTTACCCCCAGGCAAGGGCCACGTGCAGATTGGTTGCGGTATTGTTACCCCCGGGCGAGGGCCAGATACAGATTGGCCGCGGTATTGTTACCCTCGGGCGAGGGC